GGTGCTTCCATGGTTTCTAACACATCAACAACCCTTATGTCTTCGTGCCACACACACCTCCATGCCCTGCCTCCACTGAGATGGCTACGGTGCTCTGTGTGCTAGTACAGGGACATTTCAAATGTGCTCTTCATGGAGCCGACTGAAGCACTTGCTTGCCCACTGTCCCTCAAACATTGGCATGGTGCCCCCAAGTTTATCTCTAGTGAGATTGGTTTTATCCCTTTCTCCCTTCAAATCTAGTTTAAAGCTCTTTCAACAAGTCCTGCTAACTCCTCATGTCATGTAACTTACCGATTTCCTCAGGTTCAACCAACAGGCCACAGACTGAATCTCCCTCACCAAACTTTCCCATTTTGTCCGCAGGTCTTCTCTATGAGATGGAGAAAGGTGCTTGAGCACAGACCCATGCTCTGTCACTATGGAGGGAAGGAGCGAACAAGAGAGCAGTAGTAGCTGCTCTTATGGGTGGGCTGCCTTGTGCAGTCTTCCCCCTTCATCAGCAGAAGCAGCAGCCCAGCCCTCCAGATCAGGAAGTTCCAGTCCTGCAGCAGCCACTGCTTCTGTCCACCTCTACCAAGTATGCATGGAAGGCAAGTTTAGCAGCTGCAAACAGTCTGCATAGATGTATGCTTGCATAAAATCCAGAATTCACATTCAGGAGCCAAAGATGAAGCATCAGTGAAACCACACACTATGCTTGGACACTTATGGCATTTAGGATCCTATCCTCTCGCACACAAACATGTGGAAGGTTTACGCAGTAACTCCTACTTAGCACTAACAATACCTCAAAAAGTTATTCTTCTCTTTTGTTGTTTCTTAACAAAACTAAAAAGAACTGCTCTTGTAAGGTATAGCAGCACAGCTGGAAAAAACCGAAATCTCTTCTATTAGCTTTCTAGAAAGGTATTATTTTACTACTGTATGTTTTGACCCATATTGAGCTTTCCAAGTGTTAAAGCACTGTATCAGTATTGCTAGAGATAAAAGAAAAGATCTCCCAAAAAGGTAAGAGATTTCTGAGATGTGACTGTCTTAAAAACTTTTACCATCCTGGTAAGGCTAAACATAGCGTGCAACATCTTAAGACAGAACGATTTTCATCTCTGTCACTGCTGTTCTTCCTCTTAATAGATGATAAACATTTGCTATGATACAAAATGGAATTTATAACCTACTCTTCCTTAACTTTAGTCATTTTTACCTTGTACAACAACATGTTCTTGTTACAAACATTTTTGTCTGTTAACGTACATATAAGCTGCAGCTATATGAACTCTCTGCAGGAAGAGATACAATGTGAAGATAAAGGTGGGTTTTTTTTGTTTCCCCCCGCGTTTTTTTTTGAGCACAACATAAACTCAAGGGAGGTCAACTGCATTTTGTCTTAACTATAAGAGCTCCTGTTGTAGAGAAATCAAGAAGGAGAGGAAAAAAATAAACACTAATTGTAGAAACTTTCTAACACTGAAAACTAACTAATCACTGAAAATTAACTAATCATCTATGGGTACATCGTAGACATTAGTAAAACAAAGCACATGTTAGCTTACTTTATTTCAGGAGTAATGATTTCTGCTGCTAAACTGTCTGAAGGCTCTTGTCTTCCCAGAGGCATCAATCCTGTGTTAGGAAAAGTAAAAAATACAGCAAGCAGAGCAGCAACTTTCTTCAAAAGAGCACAAGAAATGTTGTAGAAGTTTACAGTTTTAGAGCAATGCTAGACAATGGAAAATGACAGAGTCAGGCTACAGCAAGACAGACAGACAAGCACAACTTCATTTGGAGAATAATCATTATTTCTGTCTTCATCCATTCTGATGAAGTAATTTTGTAGTGTATTTACTGCTTATTAGCTGATCTAAGAACCACAAAGATGTGCAACATTACACATCAAAATAAAATGCAATGCATAAAACATCATACAAGAAAACCTAGTATCTCTCTACAGCAAATTATGTAACTACACAGAAACCAGAAATACACACTGGAAAGGAAACTAAAATTTATGATTGACTGAAATAACATTTGAAGTCTTCAAATGCCTACAAAGTTATGGATAGCTGAAGCAGCTTTTCATAACTGATCTTAAAGGAGCTTAAATTTATTGTGTTAAACTAAAGTGCACACAATGCTCTCCAAAGAACTCCTGTAAACTCTAGAAATGATGCATTTAATATCCTTTCTTGTTCTTTACCTGTAGTGGTGAGTTGACCCTCCTGAGCTTGTACACATCTAAGCTCTTCAATAGTTTCTTTCAAAGAATCCCTTTCTGTTCTTAATCTCTGAAAAGAAAACTAATATCAGTCTTGGCACTACAAATCCATCTTTAACAGTACATGAATCGCCAAAAGGCATATCCTTCAACACTTTAAAAAGAATTTAATGTAATCTAGAGATGATTTTCAAATTAAGGCATCTCAGTCTACTTCATAATAGAATAAACATAAATATTATATATTCCACATGAACAGTGTGTTTTTTTTTGAGAAGGGTTGCTGCTCTGTATTACTATTATGGAAGTAAAAATTCCAGGGTATAAGCTTACAAAATCAATATATTAGTGACACAAAGTTCTGGCACCAGGTAGTAAACAGCATCCACTGAAGCCACTCAGCCATTTTCCTTTTCCCCTCATCAGGGCTGATTCTAAGGGAAAGGGAAGTGAATTAAGAGACCATAGATGTTTTCCTTCACCAAGAAACCAAGGCTTGGCCCAAGTGAAATAAAAAGCAGGTGAGTATACAGTGAACAAAACAAACAAACTGCATTAGCTTCATTTTGTTTGTCTTTCAACAGTGAAAGTGTGAGCAGCATCTCCATATCCCCTTCTTCTCACGTGTCAACTAGCCTTGCCATTCACCAGCATCTTAGCCATGGAAGAAAACAGGTTGCTTGAGGCTTAATCCAAAGAGGACTGAAAAACAGAACTGGACCACCTTGGGATCTAGACAGATGGGCTCTTAAGCAGCATCAGGTAAATACTCTGCCAATTTGCCAGAAGTCTGCTTTTGGCAAAAAATGAGAATCTACAGGTAGCATCAAGTTTTTGTCCAGAAGGTTGCCAAGACTCAAAAATGAAAGGAGAAAATGGCAACTATGTAAAGATCCAAGTTGTAGCTTGCTGCAAAATCAGACATGTCCACTAAAAGGTCCAGGACAGACCTCAGGTTCAGTGTACATATGGAGTTGTGCAGCTGACAGCTCCCTGCATTTCATCCTATTAACAGTTTGATTCAGGTATACTTTACATTTCAGCCCACATGGATCCAGAACTTGGAATCCCTTTGCCTAAAGAACATTTGGTGGGGTGTGACAGAGCCTTCTGCTGCATTTCTGAATCCTGCAAGGTGAACTCTGGTGCAACTATCAGAACAATCTGAATAAAGTGTACGTTCTTTTAGCACTGAAAGTCATTTCACAAACCCCACAGGTGAAAAAACTGTTTTTACTATAAATACTACCGAAGAAGAGCCATACAAAGGAGTGCTCAAACTCAGCTGCTGAAAGCAAGGATTCTGCAGTTTGCTACCATGAGTCAGAAAACACCATTAATCAAAAGCCAGAATATTTAAATTCATAGAAAAAGGTCTAAGGCTTCACTTGTACACTACAGACAAAGTCAACTCACCAAATTATCTTAGTATTTATCATACAACACACCACAGAGGTAAAATTCCAAGCTACATAGCTGAAGATATCAAACACAATAACACACTTTGCCAGAACATAAAGACAAAGACAAAATCAATTTCAGTAACTGTTTCCAAAATATAGCTGACAAGATACCACTGGGTAGCTTGTGACCTGTGGTGGGCAACCTTACTGATAGGTATGTAACAACAGGGAAGAGAAAGAGTAGGTAACACAGGTAATTAATCAAGAATTCAAATGTTGAAAGACTTCTGCTTCTCACAGGTGCATATCCATTCAAAAGAATGTACTGAAAAACAACATCTGCTCCCCAAAATGCTGTTTGCCAGGGGGTAAAAGAAAACTATATGACAATGGCTTGTCATTCAGATCCTTTGTGCAAGATGAAATGGTCCACTAAGCAATGGGTAAGCCACAGACACAACCTTACTGTTGTCAAACACAACAAAACCGGAAAAACAAAACTTTAAATAAAGAGCAGGAAAGAAAGCCAAAGCACAGTAGGAATACAGTTACTATGGGCATTCCAATCTCAACTGAAGGGCAGATGGAGATGATACCAAAGACAAGTGTCCATAATAGTTTGAAAATTAAAAAAAATATGGAAATCAAAGACCTACGAACAGAAAATAACTGAAAATTTTCAGTTCAAATGCTATTCAAGTGCAGGGGTTGGAAATTACGGAAAGACATGGACAGTAAATTGAGGGAAAAACCTACAGAGATTCCCATTGACAGACAGATGAACTTAGGCCTAAGAAATTGCTGACTCAAAGTGCTGGCCTTGGTTTGAGGTAGTCTGAGGCACCCACATATACAATCCTAAGAAACGAGCTGAAATAAACTGGCGAGAAACAACAGTGTGCAATAGAAGTCTGAAGGATCAGTCTTGGTAAGAGAGGGCAGAGTGACTAATCGCAGAATCACTAGCAGCAAATGACAGAGAGGAAGGGAATAGACTGGAATCTGCCCTGTGTGTTCCATTTTGGCAGTACAAGATGGATCAACAAGGAGCTGTGACAAAAGGCACAACTGCCACAGAGGACATGTCCCTCTACACAACTGCTAAGCCTCTTGCTGCAGTACTTATGACTCCACAAAGAGAAACATGCTGATGGTACCTCAAACAACGCTTTAGAAAAAACACAATAGGAGTTTAGTTCTAGGATGATGCTGCAGAAGAAACCCTACTTTAAATAATTTTTCTGAATACATTAACAATTACCCTGGGTATTTATTAACTGTCTCATTGTAAATAGTCAAGAAACAACTTTGGATTCCAAATAAGAAGGCTTCTCTTAAAAATGGTTTGCATAGACTTTTGCACAGTCACTTTATCCCATGTTTTACTGTTCTTAGGTCTAAAAAGGAAATTTTATGTTAAAAAAGACTTCCTAATTTAAAAAGCTTCTTGTAAGTGGCTAACTATAATTACCATATCTCTGTGTTATAAAGGACACAAAGCTGCTATTGCTACTACCAAAAAATAACACCTTGGCACTTACATCTTTCTCTTTTTGGAGGCTGTCTACTTTTTCTTTCAGTCGTTTGCATTCATAATCTAATTTATCAGCTTTCTTGGATTCTTCAGATAACCTGTTTTGTAGTTCAACTGCCTGTGAGAACAAGAATTAATAATTTGTCTGCAAATATTAGTATTAAAACAAAATACACACGACAAAGTAGCCAACTGCCATGCACCATGAGTCACGTTGAAAACAAGTGAAATAGTTACCTATACGGCATAGTAAAAACTGCTTTCATCAGTTGTTCTGTGTTTCAGCAAAATAGCATTCAAATATTAGGTCTTAGCACAAGCAAAAGAAGCAAAAAACTGTGAAGTATTTTCACTACATCTAAAAACAAGAATTTAAGCCCAACCATGGTTTACAGAAAAAAGCTATATAGTTCTATGATCAAAGATCTTAGGAAAAGTAGAAAAATCCTCCTTCATTCTGAGAAGCCTAGGAAAAAGAAAAAACTCTGAAGAAAGCAAATTATCTCCACCTTTTGTTAACTGCTTCACATGGCTCACTTGGAATTCAACCACCAGTTTACGCAGCCAGGTAACATTTCTTAATCTGAGATTTTCCTAATAATTTTTAATACACTAACAAAGATTCAGCCACAGGCTCGTAAAAAGTTTTCTTTACTTCAGAAGGAAACATTGCTAACAAAATTGCATATACTTTCAACTACAAATCAGTAAAGAGCTTTTAAAATTAAATGCACAGAAATCTGAAAGCTGAGCAGAAATGATCAGTGACTGGGAGGCAAGTCAGTGAAGTCTTGCCTTTGCAAAACTCTCAGCCTTTACTAGCAAAGGTTCATTCTCAGAACACTAGTAAAGTTCATAATGCAAAGAGCATGGAAGCAAGTAAGCTGAATAAAGCCTGACCTGCAAGCACAAAAGCTGAAAGAAGACTCAGCTAAAGACGTACAGCTTCTTCTGAAGCAATTCATAAGAAAGCTTTTTCATTGCTTTTAGATTACAGAGAAAGTGACTAACCTAAATTGCGAAGCAAAGTAGTAGCCATACCTACATTAAGACTGCATAGTGGTTCTAACTACCTTTTATTTTCAATGTGTATAGCTATAGCAAAATAACTACCAGGCTTAAAGATCTACATGGTCTTAGGTCTTAGAGAAGGACTTTCCTGCTGTTGTTTTAAAATCAAAGGGTGAAAAAAAAAAAAGCACAGGCCTGCCATTTCTGAGATTATCGGGTTAAAAAAAAATATCAAAATGTTAGATATGAAAATATTTTGTTTCTCAGTTGTGACATTCATCATTGGGCCTATCAGAATAACTGCAGGTATAAAGAAAAAAATGCAGGTCTTCACTTGTGATCATGCCTGCACTTGCAAAACAGGTGTATTTTCACCTCAAGTGGAAACAAATGCATTAATGTTTATAATCACCCATGCTATGGTAATGGTATGTAGAAAAACACAGCAGGAAATACACTGTCTTGAATCAGGACTTGTGAGTGTATGGAAAGATATACAGCTAAATCGTAAAGCAGAAGATTAAAAAAAAAATGAACTGCCATCACATTTACTGAGCATTATCTGACACGTGGAATGAGTAAAGCAGGAATCTTGCAGCAAAGAAAAGCAAGATGTACTATTAAAAATAATCAGAATGCACATGCACAAAGGGGCTGAATTAAAATTACAAAAAAATAATCCTGGAATATTCACATTTCAATTCTTCATGCTGTAATAAAGAGTTTCTTAGAAAATTCTTGTGCTTGCTTTCAGAAAAGTGAACAAAATATCTTAAATGAATAAATACTATTATACCTCCCAGCACAACACACCACCACTAACCATCTCACAGAAACTGCTGGGTGGGGTGAAGATGGGATTTCCTTGCATATTATTATTAGAGTTTGAACAAAGCATTTTCATCTGCACAGCACAGACCTTCTAAGCCAAGGAAGTAACTCCTCTGATGGCCTCATCATGACTGGGGTTGGATCCTTCACACACCATACAAGAAGCATTCCATTATAGGGGCACACCAGTGCTCAGCAGTGACATACCATCAGAATCCTTAAACCTGGCTTAATTCTTAAAGCACAATTTAGGATTCCCAGAAATTAATTTTGTGACAGCTCATGATTCACAGGCAGGTCTCAAAAGTGGTCCAGCCTTACAGACACTGAAGGCAAACACACTGTGTGTTCATTTTGAGGCACTGTGGTTAGCTGAAGAAAACCCACATCTGCCATGAGACACCTGAGGTTTATTCCAGGCTCAGCCAGTGGAATGGTTTTGTACAAATCAGCAGCTCCTCAGACATGAAATCCCACCCAAAAAACATAGGGAATGAAGAAGAAAAGGAGGACTATTTTTGCAACACAAGTGATGGGACTGCCCCTTCCAAAATCCTTACTGCTGGTGAAATAAGTACAATCAGATGCAGATGTCAAGGTTGCACAACTATATCACATGCTCAGCTGTTCAACGGAGTGAAATATTTGTTGCCAGTAAACATGACACTATGCATATGTGAAAGGCATTGCTTTCTACATTTACTTTTCCCTTTGATTGTCTGTTATTTCAGTATTTTTCTGGTCCCAGTTCTTTTTTTTCTGGCGGAGTCATTTGGATTGTATTTACATTACAGGCTGAAGCTAGTTGCCTTAATAACTAGAATGGCCAGGTGCAGGGGAAAAGCCATCAGCTCTTAGGGACACATATTGCTCCTGGGCTTGCAATGGTATTAGTGGTTATTCCTATATTTTTATTCTGCTGTAAGGTGATGTATAGGGCTTCCTGCGCCATGAGACCCCACCTGGAGTACTGCATCCAGCTCTGGAGTCCTCAGCACAGGAAGGACATGGACCTGTTGGAGCGAGTCCAGGGGAGGGCCATGAAGATGGTCAGTGGGCCAGTCTCCCACATGAGAACAGGCTGTGAGGGCTGGGGTTGTTCAGCCTGGGGAAGAGAAGGCTGTGGGGAGACCTTATAGTAGCCTTCTAGTACTTCAAGGGGGCCTACAGGAGAGATGGGGAGGCACTCTTGATCAGGGAGCATAGCAATAGGACAAGTTTAAAGCTGAAAGAGGGTAGATTTAGATTAGATATTAGTAAGAAATTTTTTACTGTGAGGGTGGTGAGCCACTGGAACAGGTTGCCCAGGGAAGCTGTGGTTGCCCCGTCCCTGGAGGTGTTCAAGGCCAGGTTGGATGAGCCCTTGAGCAACCTGATCTAGTGGAAGGTGTCCCTGCCTACAGCAGGTGGGGGTGGAACTACGTGATCTTTAAGGTCCCTTCCAACACTGACCATTCTATGACTCTATGATTCTATGAGCATTCGAGCTGATGAGCAGGCAGAAATACAGAGCAGGCACTACTACTTTAATGAACCACATTCTGTCTGGCCCTGTAACAAGAATCCCAGAATGATGTCATGTTAATATAGTGTAGAAGGAAGAAGGAAGATGAAGCACATCTTCACCTTTACAGAAACAGGATCACATGTCACTTTGGTAAGCAGGAGGATAAACAGACGCCTTTCACTGCAGACAGTGTGCTGTTAACACATTTTGTACTCTGCTGGGTGCATATGAACAGCAGGTATGATATGCGTCCTTCTCTCTTTGTAACCGGACAAATTCAGACATACCAGACATAGAACCTTAAAAAAAAAAAGAGGTTATCTAACCACAGAAATAACTTACCTCAGCTGTGGTGCATTCCTCACTGCTGAAAGTTTGTAAGTGAAAAGTTGATACTTTTTCTGAAAGAAAAGGCTCTAATTCAAGCTCCACTACCAAATACAAATCAGGAATAATCTGAGAAAAACAAAACTTAACATCCATTGATTTTTTACAAGTAAGAAATACTGCTTATTGGAAAACTAATGTAAACTTGAAATAATGACAAGAACTGTAGGAAAGGAGAACAAGGGTCGTGTCTACAAAACATGGAAGTCTTCTAAACGCAAGGAATGGTTTGTTCATAATTGCTTTTTTGCTTTGAGATATTAGCCATGTTATGAAGAGAGTGTGTTCAACAATACAGTGAACTGTTGCATTGATGATGTCTGTTCTCACCTGTCTCTTGTATGTTTCCAGCTGACTGCGTGCAGTATTGGCCTTCCTTAGTTCTTCTTCCAGGCTCACAGTATTTTGCATGTACATTGTATTCTTCTCTTCTAAAAGTTTCACTTGCCGTCGCAAATCACCCAGGTCTTCCAATTTCTTTTTGTATGACTCTACCTGGCTTTCTAACTTGGCTACTTTATCAGAAGAATGCCTGGAGGGACAGATTTGTATCAAATTTGTACTCTGAAAATTTAACAAAATGAAATGTCCTGAAGCTTCCTCAGGATGCAGAACACATTCTGAGATATCATGGGGAGAACAAGAGAGGAATGACATCCTCCTATTACTAATGTTTTAATTTTTAAATTCTCTGCTTCCCTCCCATAACTATTTGTCAACTCAAAGAGCTGCTGATGGAGGTACTTCTAGACACTATCACTCTTCCTAATACAGCTTTCTTATCTGCTTCCAATTTTAAAATAACAGTTAAAGCAGCTTCACCCCCCCCCCATTTCCTTTCAATTCTAAACTGATCCTCAGTCCTGCATTTTACAAGGGTAAAGAATAAAATTTTCTGCCCTTCAATTTATTTTAATGACATCCAGGAAAAAAATCATAAAGATCTATCTCCTGGGCAGCATGTATTTGGTAACACAGAAGTACCATAACAGCTTTGGAGCCTGATTCTGTAAAAAAAAAAAATCCAAAAACAAGCAAACAAAAAAACCCCCCGAAACACTAGGCTCCATTCAAAATATTTCAGTTTTTTCAATCTGCTTGGTGCACTTCCAGAACAGCAATAGCTTTCATCCACACCCTCACTACTATTACTGTATCCAGTTTCATTTTAGAACCAACCAATTTACAGACTCAGTTTCGTATGAAATTTAGAGAATCCCCCATTGAACCGATGATCAGTTTAGGGGACATTGGGGCAAGCCAAATGTCCTTAACCCCCAACAAAGTGCAGAGCCTCTCTCTGGGGCAAGGAATTACTCTTTGAACCCATGCTGCCCACACAGATAGTTCATAGAATTGTGCACCCTGATGGGCTCATTCCTTATATTAATGACAGAGGAGGCAAAGACAGAAAACTTTGGTAGAAAGCTGCTGGTGAATTAGAAAAGGCAGTATTAAAATAAGCCTTGCTAGACTTGCTAGAAAGAGTGATACGGGTGGGCAGTGGATAACTGTTCTGTATAACTCACGGCAGTAAGACGCCACTACTGGATAGTAGCAAAAGGAGCTTCCCCACTCTATAAAACCCCTTGCATCATAAAATCATGGCAACTTTGTGTGCTAAAATCCAGCGGCAAAGGGAGCTGTAACAGGTGTTGTTCATATCAGCATTATATGATGAACCAAAAGCACCACCCAAAATCCAAATAATACAAACGCAGGAAAGGAAAGGGCCTAGTTCCCCGGTGAGAACAGAGGCCCAAGTCAAGAAGGGTAGCAGAGAATACACAAGAGAGTGACTTGTTATGACCATAAGATGGTGTAGCATTGCTAAGTTTACTAACAGTTATTGATCAGGTACTTAACAACTAACTAATTTACTTAAGCAGAATTGTGTGGTGGTCTGTGTACTTAACTGAAGGATCCAAAAGAACCTTGGCATTGAGAGTGTGTTTATATTTAATATTACAATTATTTAAACAAAAGCTAACGAAGACTAAGTACATAAGTTATATGGATCAAAAGTTAATAGCTAAAAAAGGGTCAATAGAACAAAGTTTACCTAAGTACATCTATCTCATCCTTCAAAGACTGAGCCTCCTCTGCCAATGTAGTGAGGTCTTCTGTTTGTTGTCTCAATTCAGCTATTTCCTTTTCTAGTTCTTCACAGCGTATTCGATAGTCATCTTTGGCAGCTTCTAATCTGTAGAAATTAAGTAAAACAGAAAACAATTTCTCAGCTTGAGCCACAGTTATTTTTCCTCACCGTCTCTGAAAACACATGAAATGGCCTTCCGGTGCAGTGAAAGAAAACAGCAGCCCAGAGAAAAAAGACTGACAGAGAAACAGACTGACTCTTTTTGATGCTCTCAATTTGACATCAGCCTTTCTATTTGGAAGATCACAAGGTAACGTATGTTCTCAAAAAGACAAATTCTGAGTTCCTTCAGTCAAAGCAATTTTTCACCATGGAAGCTCAAGCAGAAATTTCCACCTTTTTTCACCTTGGGGCACACAGAGTTTGAACATGACATCTCTATCCTAAGATTTTGTTCAGTTGTTCAACTCCTATACACCTGCAACAATACTGACCTGACTGTCAGATGTTCTCATGCTGCAGAGCTCTCACAAAGGTGGCTTTATTTAGGTATCGTAAGTATTGTAAGTATTTACTTACAAAGAATCTATGCCTCCCCAGTACCTCCGAAGAAACAAATAATACATTTAGTTATCTAGTTAGAATGTAAAGAACTCAATCAAAGCTTCTGCAGTGAATTACTTACATATGCCATACACAGACAAAGCTGTATTATTATCCTGGCAGTGAACAAAGAGAATAACTATGAGAAATTTTGTCAAAGCATTTTGAACAAATGCAAGAGGACACAACCTTGAACCTGAAGTCCTACTGTGATTTTGATCTGAAATTAAAGTAAAAACAAAAACCTCTGGAAAAAGAGGTATGGGCATGGAAAAAAAAAAATCTTCTATCCCTTAATTCAAGAAGTCTAAAAAGAACCTACAAGAATGGAGACAAGAGATAGTCAGTATGTCATCTAAACCATAAACAAAGATTTGGATTGTGATAGACCAGAACTGTCAGAGGACATAATGAGGCAAGACTGGAAGAAATACCACTGGGCATCAGGGAAGCTGTTTGGTCAGGTAGAACTCTAGAAGGAACACACACAAATTGCCATTAGAAACCACATGCTACAGAGGCAGGGGAAGGAGGTAAGGGAGACTGGGAGATGAGTCTCACACATAAAAAGGGTTTAGAAAGACCTTCAGAACCTGAAACTAGAGTAACAAGCAGTGCAGATATTGCACACGGGGAGAAACCCTGTTCAAAGAGCAATTGACAATAAACTCAGGTAGGAATCATACAATCACAGAAGGGTTTGGTTTGGTTCGGAAAGGACCATTGAGATCATCTAGTTCCAAACCCCCTGCTATGAGCAGGGACACCTCCCACTAGATCAGGTTGCTCAAAGCGTCATCCAGCCTGGCCTGGAACCCTTCCAGGGATGGGCCATCCACAGCTTCTCTGGGCAAACTGTTCCAGTGCCTCACCACCCTCACAGTAAAAAAGTTCTTCCTTCTATCTAGTCTAATTCTGCCCTCTTCCAGTTTAAATCCATTACCCCTCATCCTGTCAATACATGCCATTGTAAAAAGTCACTAATTCATTGTAAAAAGTCAAGAATCATTTCAGACCACAGAGATAAATAAGGAGGGATAAAAAGGAGACATCTGAGAGATATCACTACATTATTCCTCTATATGGTGGATGTACAGAAATAGGAAAACCAGTCACCAGCTGCTGTGAAAGAAAAATATTGAACATTTTTTCAGGAAACTGAAGGGAGAGGGTATATCTGAACATGCAGGAAAGACGCTTACAAGAGGAAGTGGAAAAATGGCAGAACAGGCAAAAACCAGAAGTTACGTGGCAGCTGATGCAAGAATTAGAAAAGGGCAACCAGAAGAGGACAGAAAGAGAAGAAAAACTGGCAGTTTAAAGGAACACCATAGTTTCACTCACAAAGGACAAGGAAAGTACAGCAACAAGAGTGAAAAGACGGTGAAGTGGACCAGCTTTCTTCAGCAGAATAGACTTACACAGCATGAAAGCAACATCCGAAAGGACCAAGGAGGTTATTTAAAGAGGAACTGTATTTCCACATGTTGGAGAAATGGAAATCAAGAGAAGAGCTCACTGCAGATAAGCTCCATCGTTCATATATGAAACAATTTGTTTTCAAACTCAGAGAAGGACACCCTTTGCTGTAATACTACCACTTACAGTACTGCTTACAGTATACTTTCAGATAGGAATTCCTACACCTTAACAACACAATCAGAATAATTTACACAGAGGAAAGCATGCTACTTTTCATTCTCATTGATTTTGAAAAACATTGGTAAAATGATTGCACACAATTCAAAATCACTTCAGAGAGTAGAGAGTGACATGTATACAGCACTTCATCATCAAGAAATTATGCATTTTTTATGCTAGAGCTTGTAAAGTGGTAAACTATAACATGTACATCACTGTAAAATCTTTACTACTGTGGTTATACCACCCATTACACCAATTCATAATTTCCAGCAGAACCAGAAGTATATAAGTCATGTCTGCTGCCAGACAGAAAAAAACCAATCTAACTAAGCATAGCTGTTCTACCTGAATGTTTCCTCTTGGAGTTGTTCTAGTTGTGTCTGCAGCTGCAAGTGCCTACGACCTGCAGGGCTGTTGGGATCTTCAATAGAATCAGACTGATTTAAACGTTCCATCAAAATCTGGTTTTCAGCGAGCAAGCTGCTCTTCTCCTCCTGGAGGGCTGCAACCTATTGTAATAAAAGCATAAACTGGAATAACGGAGCTATCCAGCTACAGAGAGCAATTTTTTTGTGTGTATGTAATAGAGTATCAACACATTCCACAAATGGAAACACACAGGCTTCAATAATCATATTTCACAAGAATATTCTGAAACATTAATAGGTATTCAATTGCTATGTGATGTAAACAACATATTGCAACATTAGGAGCAGATATACCAGACATAAAATATAACTATTCTTAACTGTATTTTGCACAAGCATCTAAAGAAAAAGTCTTAGTTATCACAGAAGATAACGTCATTATAATAAAGTCGGCACACTTTTCCAACAAACAAATAAAACTAGCCCTCCACAATAAGGCCTTTAAAACTGATTTCCAAAAGAAACAATGCCTATCAATCACACAGAATACCCAAGTCTGGATATCCAAGGGATGGCTGTGCCCTTCCTAGATTTTGGTTTTTTTTTTTTTCAATCCAATGGCCAATGTAGGCAGACCTGAAACAGGAACACAGTCCAAAGATTACTCAGTTTCTGCCAATGTTGTGAAAACAGGAAGTAGTGCAAAACCCCAAAGTGCTGCAACTGAAACAACTGCTGAAGCATGGGTTCATATACTATTAAATAGTACAGAATTAACATGCAGGATGAGGAGAGGAAGAATGGAAATGTGAACATCTCAACAGAAGGAAATGCTTCAATAAGAGCTTGAGTCATCAAATATGCCAAAATGAACCATGACACACAAATCAGCTTCCTTAACTCTAACATATCCTAACTGCTTGGCAAAAGCCTGAATTGTACTCCAAAGTAGGGCTGCAAAAGCAATGCCTTTTGGGACTCACACTTTACACTCCTCATGTCTTCCAGATGAGCTACGCTTGATTTACAGCAGGACTTAGTCTAAATCCATACACAGCTGATACTGACTACAGCAACTTCTGACTGGGATTTAACTCTTTAACTGAAACTCTTACAGCAGCATAACCTCCACTAGTTCTCTAATGCCAGAGCTGAACCACACAGCTCAACCCCTTCCTACCTTAATTTAAAAAGTTCTGTTAGTATGAATCATCTTAATACTGGCAACATTGCATCAAGACAAAAAACCAATGAAATTCACTCTGCTAGCACAAGTAAGCAAAATAATTACTATGCAATTTTCATCTCCCTCTTAAATATTATGTTTCCACACTATACTTACTGTTTTCAGTTCCCTAAAAATTAACACATCTCTTTCCCACTTCAAAATTAATACGTATAATACAGCAAACCTACCTGCATATCTAACTCATGACATCTCTGTGCAATTTCTTCTTTTGTTGCTAGTGCTTCATTTAATTCTTCTGTAGTTTTCTTCAGCTATCATAAACAACAAACATTTATCACTTCATCACTCTGTGAAGTGTCTAAAAATATTCTTAACTACACAACTGTAAAATTAATTTTACTTCTAGGTTTTATATTAGATTTTTTTAAAACTGAGGCAATCCTACTCTTATAAAGAAACAAAGAAGGAGACATGCTTACTATTTAGTTTGTGTGACAGTAAAAACTAAACATACCTAAAAGTAATATTTGGTCTTACAAAAATACATTAGACTATTCTATAAATTGAGTCAAAAAATACTGAAGAATTCGGGTCTCAAGAACTCATCAGCTCTGTACACTGAAAAAAATGTTAATACCACTTTTCTTTATGGATACAAAGAATGCATAACTTCAGTTTTCAATCTACTTTTCAAATATAGAAAGGACTGGAATGTGGAATACAGGGAATGGACAATTAGGGTAAAATCTCTCTAGTCATTGGAAGCTACTCTTACTGCACAACACAAATACAACTAACATGGTGAGGGAGAAGCCCACCCTTTTGAAAAAGGGCACAATCTTGTAAGCTGTGGGAAATTTTCAGACATTTCCCTTCTAAGGCTTTGTGTTCAAAGATATGGATCTTCAAATTTGCATATGAATGCAGTTAAGATAACATTAAAAAACATAGCTACAAGAAAACTGGCCTGATAAAACAGGTGCATGGATATTATATATATAGAGATACAGATACGCATTATTATATATGATTAATTTTAGATGGGCTTTTTCAAACAGTGTCGTCGTATCTTGTTTTTTCAAGTTTATTTCTCAAGGGCCTATTGACATATGAAAATTAATTCCATCTGCCAGAATTTACATACTTCTGTAGAGAAAGCATGATGGAGGAACACAGAGAACATCACTGTACTATACTTCTTCTCAATTAGAAAAAAAACTCAGGAAGTAGGACAGAATTAGCATGAGGTTAAGCTAGTAAAAAACTAACCGGTAACTAGTAGAAAAAGTTTTATTCAAATATTACACTTTTTTTTCAATTCTTCTTTCTCAGTACTGAATGATTTGCACCTGTCTGCAGTTCCTATACTACATCACACAGCTAAACTTTCCAGACTGAGTTTTTCTCTCCTTTAAATACACAAAATGGGTAAACTCAATTTATAAAGCAAAAGGACTTGAACTACTGAAATTTAGTTTTCCACTCCTCATTTTAATTTCCCATAAAACCCTTTCAAGATGGAAGAGAAGACAGACCTCTTAATAAAGCAAAATAATTGGCCACTGATGTGCTATGATTGAAGGAAAAGAAACATCTAGTCTTAGATACCTGCCGATCAAGGTCAACGTAAGCATCATTTCCAACAGAGACTGGAGACTCTTTACTCATCAACTGCAATTAGATTACACTGGATTAGAAAAAGCAAGGAATCACTTTTATATTAAATGCTAAGATTCAATGAAACACTAAGCTGATTTTAACTTTTAGGATCTTTAATCTGACTTAATTTGGAAGTTTTTAACTTCCTTTTTATATATGACATATTAAAAAACAATTATAGAACAAGATCTTCAGAATTCATATACTTAAAGCATTATAAAAGAAATCTTAACCTCTTTTTCTTCTGTAAATGCACATTCTTCATCTATGATGAAACCTACAGTACACTGTGCATTTTACTGAAGTGGCATTGGAATGACAGTAGCTATCAACATACCATGCAAGGCCTGCCTTCAATTGTTCTTTACCAGTGGTTTTCATTTCTTAGTCATCTAGAAGTTCACATCAATTTATTTATTTAACTAAAGTTGGGGACATATCTATCTCAGCTAATTGTGCAAACCAAAGATGGTAAAAAATTCCTGCTCTGGAGTTGTCTGTAACTTGCAAATTCAAAAAGAAAGTCTATAGAGAGTATTCCTGAAATGAGCATTATAATTCCTTGTACACCAACCTATTTTATTGCAGGAATGTCAGGTAGTGGTTTTAGTCTAGAAAACGTTACATTTAGCCAGGACTTTTTTAAAAAAAACAAACAAACAAAAAAAAGGCAAGCCCTCCAAACTGATTGATGTACTTAATGAAAGATAAAAAGCCAATAAGAAAGTTCCCTTTCAGTAACCCACTGACCAGCTACACTGACAGTTAAATCAAACGTAAAATAAGTTGCAGCCCAAAGATCTCCTCCCACCCATCTCCAGCAAACATATTAAGGTAAAGTTATTACTGGACATTTTACGAAGCAAAAAGGAACAGTCTTCCAAATAAGAAATATGTTGCCACTAACGCAAAAGGCAGCATCACAGAACCACTGATGGTTTCTGTCATCCCGTCCCAAACACAAGATGTTTTATGAGTTCTCCCATGACAAAATTCATGGAAGTTACAATCAAAGGGGCCTAATATCCTAATAAAGATCAGGACAAGATTTCTTTCTTAAGGCCTCCTGTCCAGCCTGGTTACTCTCTCCTGAGACAGGGCTTCCTTTATTCCTTACAGAAATCGGTGCTTTTGCATTACTTTTCATTGGCAAAGTTCCTTGGATACACAGCGCAGAGCTTTCATTTCTTCTCTATGTTTTCTGTTCACACCACTGTGTACAAGACAAAATCTCTCCCTGACACAATTCACATCATTCAAATATTTATACACGTACATTTCTCCTCCTTTCCCCATCTCCTTAATTGGGATTTACCCACATACCACATGCTTAAATTAATCTGCCCTCAACAGTCCTTCTCAGACCTTGACAAATTTTGTTGCTAACTGCTGAATTCCCTCCATTTTGTCTACATCTTTACAATGACAAGCTATTCCAAAATTAAGCATCCCGTGAAGTTCATATTGTCTGTAACAGTAATTAGAAAGTTCCTAGCCTGAGAGCTGTTGCCTGAAAAATTAATCACAGAATCACAGAATGTTAGAGATTGGAAGGGACCTTGAAAGATCATCTAGTCCAATCCCCCTGCCGGAGAAGGAAAGTCACATATTTTTTTCATTACCATATACCATGGCACTACAAACTTGTATTTAATTTAGGGCCATGTTTTCTAAGCTGATTATTGTTTTGCCATCCAAAAAAAGAACTTCCAATCCCTCTCTACTCTGTGATGTTTCAGTTACTCCATTTCATTAGCTACTCTTTAAATGCTTTTCCAGATGACTAACAGGGATATCCATATTAATCTATGGATTAATCTCCCTATTCTATATCCCAAACACTGTTCATAAACCCATGTCAGAACTAAATAAGTTCCACCCATGAAGCCAGTACTCTCCAACTGGCAGGTCCCAGGCTGTAAAACAGTATGACCCTGGCAGCTACCACCCCCTTCTGGCCCTAGCACAACTTCCTCTTCAGAAACCCAGCTTAACAGGCCTGCTCAAGACTTACTGTAGGAGGCCTACAAGAGGCTGCATAACCCACTAGAGGCCACTGTGGTGTTGTTGCTTTCTGTAAATTACTGTAAAGGAAGCAGGCCAAGGCCAATAATACAATCCCTCTATTCTTCAATGGGTTTTGCTGCCTCTCCCAAAACTTCCTATCCTTGAGAACTCTTAACAGAAATGTCGAGAAAAGAGGACATTAGCTGGAGAAGGATTAGGCGTAGATATATGGAGTGGGTATGGCATGAATGTTACACAGAATTTGTGAATTTAACTCCATGGGGCGCATCAGGAATGTCATGGAAAGTGTGCGTGAGGCACTGAGGGCAAAAGCCACAGACACATGCAGATAACTGACTCACTGCAACAAAAAGCATCTTGCAGTCTTACAGCTTGTGATGCAATGGTGATGCTAAAGAAGAAACCTAAGGGATTGTGCCACATTCAGTAGTGCGACCAGACAAGGAACAGGATTACCAGATTACTCACAAGTAATACAAGAATCCAACTTCTGATCATCAGTTAAAAACACACTGAAGTTAAGAAGTGGGGTGAAATGGGAAAGTTACCAGGGTGAAAGAGTAACTCCAT